AAAGCAATAAAAATATCTGGTCAAAGTGACTTCTTACTTCACCATGAACGTGTTTCAATCTAGAGCGATTTCTGAAAATCACGAAACTGCAGAGAGTCTAAAATTTCCAGCGTCGTTCCCGTGTTTTAACATCTTCGATCGTTTACCTAAACACGCACGTGCCGCTTCCTCTCCTCATTTAACTACCTGACGTGAGTCTGGCGGGGCTTCCGTAATTGTAAATGATAGCCAGACGTGTATTTTCTATGAAATTATAATATTATATTTCGTGTGACAAATTTTTAAATCCGGGAAATAAGAGCAACAATTTTGTAATTTTTGCAATTTTCAAGATGCCGCCAGACTCATTTGCCAATTTCGTAAATCAGCCAGAATTGCTTTTGATTACAGTTTATGATTGTATCAAATGATACGTTAAGTTTCAAACAGGGTTGCGCATTTCAAAAATCTGTCAAATTTTTTTGTGTGACTTTCTTCCACTTGGTATGGGCCATTTTGTTATTGCCAGTAATAAAATAACTCACTTTAATAAATGTCAAATATTTATGAATGGGAAGGACTTTATTTTATTTTTATTTAGTGGACCCATCCGAAAATTTTAGCCAGACTCAAATTATGTCATTTAATGTCCCTATCCAAACAAAGTATTATATATTCATCCACTGGGAAAATAAGTACAAAAAAAAAACACTGCCTCCAGGACTATTAAATTTTGACTGTTTTTAATAAACTTGTTTTTTTTTTATTTTGTTCAGTATTTATTTTTATTTAAACATTTGTATTACATTAAATGCCTTAGAGCTCGAACACTGACGACCAGGTCGCACCGGCCAGGCCACTGCTACCTCTAAAACCATTAAATCAAATGATACAGCGCACACTAACGTCCTGGCCGTCCAGTCCGTTGGTCGTTGCGACCAGTAGATTGCACTAAAATATTATATTCTGCCGCTTGTTGCCGGTTTTCTTCCAAATTAATAATTTTTCAGATGAAATCCCTCAAATTCAGCGCACAGTATTTTATTTTCTATAAGATATAGTGTTTTAGTGTAGTTTTCGCACACGTGCAGAAAATCCAAAGAAATAGTATACAGATTGGATCAAAGGGAAACTTAAATCTAGTCCATTTTTTTTATCAAGGGCCCGATTGTAGTAAAAATTCAAAACATTCTTATATGACATACTCTATTTATGGTTGGTATGATACCTGTTATTATGCCTTCGAGTTTCGATGTTAAAAAATAAAAAAAACATATTTAAAGTTTTTCTACAACCAATTGTTTTTTTTATTAAATTAATTTTTTTAGTTTTTTAGTTGTATTGTAGTCATGTACAAGGAGAACAACTGTATTTTAAATATTATATTTTTTTAATTTAACATTTTTCAAACAGGGTCCATTAGACTATATTTCTACTAGGTACATTATTAAAAATAAAAAAAATTAAGAGTAAAAGTAACTTAAACATTCATAAAAATAGAAGTATTTACTGTTGTAGATTCTTAGTAACAATAAAAAAGAGGAATTTATATTGTAAACATTGAAATAACTGGAAGCTAAACTTTCTACCTGTTTGTATTTAGAGCCAGTGTCTGACGACCTTTTTTTACGATGGTCCTAATATGTTTACTTCTAAAGTCGATAAGAGCCATCAGTAGAAGTCCATATCAGTAGAAAAAAGAAACAGAATATCTCCCTTTTTGTCGGTCGCTCGTACACAATGCTTTTTGTTCGGCCTATTTCTTTTGCTTGTTCGTGCGCGCTCGGTTCGTTTGGGTTAAAATGCTTAAGTCTGGACGCACCTTTAGGAACAATACTTTTTTTGTCCTTTATTGATATAATGCTGAAAATCTCACGAGTTACATGTCTCACTCTACACATATTAAATTACATAGACGTAGGATGTAGAATATTCTGTTATGAAACGACTGATGGAATAGCAGGCATCGCGGATTTGAAAAACATGGAAATAACGACGTTATCGTGTAGTCGAGGTTGGAGATTTTACTTACTCCATTTACCACACCAGTATTTATTAACGAAAAATCCAAGAATATTTTAAATGCATTATTTAATATTAGAACATTTTTAATAAGCTCATGAATAGCAACTTCGCTTTTTAGTTAACTCGGATATTTTAACATTTCTGAAACTTAATTCTTTCTGAAACAATATTTTCTAATTGGTAAAACGTAAAAAATCGTTAGATCTGTCAAATTAGAACATTTTTAATAAGCTCATGAATAGCAACTTCGCTTTTTAGTTAACTCGGATATTTTAACATTTCTGAAACTTAATTCTTTCTGAAACAGTATCTTCTGATTGGTAAAACGTAAAAAATCGTTAGATCTGACAACTCTGTTGAAACTGGTCGTTCATCTGGCCGCAGCTATAAACGCAATACATCCGGCCAGCCGACGGCCAGCGGTCGTTGCGACCTGGTCGTCAGTGAGTTCGAGCTCTTAAGTAATGTTTGTCTCAATATAGCGAGTATATATCTGTTACAGCAGATTTAAATATTAAAATTTAAAACATGTTTTTCGTCACTGCATTCAACTCTATGGAAACTGAATTTTAAGAAAGGTCTATAAGATCCAAAAATTATAAAATAAACTTGTTTTCTAACATGGAACGAATAATAATTGCGAAACTATTCATTTCTTAATATATCGCAGCTTTAATGTGGATTTATTTTCGTATGTTTTTAGTTCACTGACATGTCCCATAATTACATAGCATCCGATTACGAACTTATGATTGACATGTGCAAAAGTGAAATTAATTTTCTGAAGTCCAGTTGGCAAAATATGCTTGGACGGCCGTTGGTTACGATCTTATGTCGCCGATTGCACTTAGGTACCTATATATTTGTTTTGATTGGGAGATATAGTATTTAGGGTTTATTTGAGTTTGTTTGCATTTGTTTTATTTTAGGCATGCGTATTAACATATAATAACGTAAAATAATCTATACTTGAAGACGTTTACATATTTAGTTATTTTATAGTTGTCATTCTCAAAAGTTTTGTCATAAATCTTGATTTTTCTCATGTTTAAAATTCAGAAGATAATATCAGATGTATTTTGCTAATTGTGTAATGTTTGCTTATTGCATGAAATTATAATATTTAGCTAATTTTTTAAACTGAATTTTTAATAGTTAGTAAAAATCACCAAGTGCCTAGGAGTTCTGATTGTAAAGTTGTATTGTGTAAATTGGAATGTGTTTTACATTAACACTAGTGAGATGGAAAAATTAACTATCGGTTTTACTTGATTGGTGATGACCACTTGATTGAAGGTTTTATTTTGCATTTTAAAAATACGAATTTTTTTTTCGACAGGTTTGCTCTGTTATTATTCTAGTGCGATAAAAGACCATAGCGGTTGAGACAAAGCCCTACAACTCTTGATATGCCACTACTCATCCAATAACCCGTTTTCATAGCTACACTATCAGACAAAAGTAGAGAAACTTTTTAAAACTCGTCGGATTTCAAAAACCTCAATATTTAAAATAATGTTTGTTTTAAACATATTTCCTTTTAGCAATACCATCATTTTTCGCCACATTCCAAATTTATCTTATCAGGTGTTTATTTATAATATGGACACAAATATTTTTGAAGGGACATAAATAATGAAACCAACATAAAAATTGACCATACTTAGTTATTTGCTCATTTACATTTTTACTAAATATGCCACGCGGAAAATATTTGTCTTCGCGATCTTCGCGAAAAAATAATCAATGCACATCGGAATGGTGTACGCCAAATGGACATAAGTACAATGTTTAATTTGCATAAGTCTGTCATTAGCAAAACAATTTCCAATTTCACAACTCGCAATTCCTTAAAGACTATTAAAAAAAGTGGTCGGCCAAGGAAAACAACGAAAAAAATTGAAATGATAATTAAAAAAATTGCCTGAACTAATAATCGGCAAATCGAATTTTGAGTGAACTACCTAGTGTCAGTATAAGCTCTAAGACCATCCAAAGAAGGCCAAGGGAAGCAGGATTATTTAGCAGCCAAAAAAACACTCATAAGTAAGAAGAACCAGAAGGCTCGACTTACCTTTGCAAAAAAATATTTGCACTGGTCGACGAATGAGTAGAAAAAGGACCTGTTCAGATGAAAGCAAATTCAATATATTTGGATCCGATGGCATATCGTGGATACATCGCCCTGAAGGGAAAAGATTTGTACCAAAGTATAAGTATACCAAAGCCACTGTAAAGCATGGTGCAATCTTGCATGATGTGGGGATGCTTCTCGGGCTTTGCATGGGAGCACTGCATGTAATAGAAGGAACAATGGATCGATTTATGCATTTGGACATCTTAAAGGAAGCGATGATTCCATTTGCTGATGATAATTTGCATTTAGCCTGGATAATGATCCAAAGCATAAATCGAAAGTCTTACAAGAATGGTTTTTGTCTGAACAAATTAGGGTTATGGAATTTCCTTCCCAAAGTCTAGACATTAACCCCATTGAAAACCTGTGAACTAGATCGCCGGGTAAGACGAAGTCACATTAGCAATAAGAGAGATTTGATAAGAATTTTGAAAGAGGCCTGGAATTCCATTGAACCAGATAAACCAGATACCATAAGAAAACTATTGGACTCCATGCCAAAGCGATGTCGTGAAGTTATAGCTAATCACAGTTACTCTACCCATTATTAATTTTATTAGGTTTAGCAACAACTATGTACTTTTAATTTTTATATTAATTTTTAGTTTCTCTATTTTTGTTCCTATAGTTTTTTATTTAACTGAATAAAAGCTTAAGTTTTCGTGAGACATGTGATTATTTCATTTAAATAAGAACTATTTAAGTATCTTTAATTTTAACAATGCATAAATTGGCCTTAGTCCCTGCGTTAACAAAAAAGACACAATTTTAAAAAGTTTTTCTACTTGTCCGATAGTGTAGAAGTTATTAAAATAAAAACTATGTATGTAAAAGTATTTTTATTTTCTTTTTATCGCAGAAAATGGTAAAATACCCTTAGCAATGATTACCACGATGAAAAAGCTGAAATCTGGTTATATTAACGGCACTCGAGTAACGTTAGGCCAATTAAACGATTTTTTGAGCACTAGTTCCATTACGAATTTGAGTTTTCTGGGATGTCACGAAGACGGAATGCCAGATAGTAAGTATCTTATACAAAACTTGTCTTTTTAAATACAGTTCTTTAAGCTATTAGGTTTATTTGCAGTAGTTCCAGTTTAAAGACAGATTTAGGTGCAGTATTAGGATAATTTTTATTAACAATTCTTACTTGGCGATAGACATCTATCCAATTATTTTATTAACTATAATCCTTGTTTATATATTCTTTAAAGTCGCTTAACCGACTAGACAAAATGTGCGGCCAACTGGAGGACAAATCGTGGAGGACAAAACTTTTCGGGGCGGAGTAAAAAATATCGATTATTTCCGTTATTTTCCTCAGAGTAATGTAATAATATAGCCCGAGTTTCTGCGAACTTTAATAGTGATCAGCTGATTAAGAAATTTAAACGAAACTTTTATTTTATTGTAAATTGTGGATTATTTTTGCGTGTTATTTTAAGAATTCTAAACCGTATTAACAAAGAAATTATTATTTCGATATGTTGGCACATTATTTATATTTTATGATAATGCTAATTAATTGCTGTTAATTAATATTTAAAAAAAAGTTACCATACATACCTATTTTAATTTGATTTAATGCAGGTTTATAAAAGGACCATTTCATTCTTAGATTATTTTATTCTAAATTGAGTGCTGTACAAATTTTACGATATTTTTTTTTGAAAACATAAAACTTTTTACATTTTTGATGCCAACTAATTGGTATGGTATTATTGGTATGGAAATTAGCCAAGAAAGAAAAGAATTGGCTATAACTTGTAATTTTTCCAAAAAACGTATACCTATATTGCTGAAAAGCTTAAAAAATTGCGCTTTTTATGAAGTCATGGCCAACTATGTTTCCATTTAAAAAAAACATAATGTTTGTGTCATATGTCAAAAATGACAGGCTTTAGAAAAAAAACAGATCTCTCGAAAATTATCCCTTCACCTACTACTTAACTACAAAATAATAAACTATAAAAACACTACTAAACTCTTTCTGGTATTCTACACTAAACATTCTAATTAAACTTAATGAAATTAATCTAATTTTCCACTACAACCACTACAACTACAAAGAAATAAGAACATTTTTTAAAACTAGAAGAAACAGAACTTCGATACGTGCGACCAGTACAATAGATCAAGCGGACAAAGAATATAAAATACTTTAAAAATGTGCATTCAGAAAGAAAAAATATCTCGAAAATTATCTAAACAAACATTTTTTTTTATTATCAGTGAAAAGCATCGGCCTCGTCGGCCTTGCGGAATTTGTCGGGTATTTACAATGGTCGAATTGTATAATTACCAGCTTTTATAGCATATCTAATAGACAAAAAGTATCTGGTCGACTAGTAACCAATTGGCACAGTCCGAAAATTATCGATTTTTATTTTCTCTGTTTTTATTGGTCGCTTCAAAATTCAGAGTAACAAAAAATATTTTTCTGTAGTAAAAGACTGTGAAATACGCCCCGCCATCTAGTGCTTTACATCCATAAACGTCTTAGGTTGAGCTACTTTAAAAATTCGTATACAAGGCTATAATATACACCATTATTCTTACAGAATTTTGAAGTTAATCAAATTATATCATCGTGTAAATCTTTCAGAGTTAAATCCCCAAGTTCATCATTATCTCGAGGAACATCTTATGAAGTCCTTGTCCCAAAAATCAACTCTTTTGGTATCGTCAGCGACTAGGAATCGAAACAGGCACGTCTTAAGAAGAAGAGTGTCTGTTAGGGGTGCTGTAAAGAAGACTAGATCTATTAATGTGGACGGTGAGTTTGTAATATTTGTTTAAGAATATTGTGAGGAAAATGTTCATATCGCACAGTTATTGGTTCATCATTTAGCTTTTGCTTTTTTCGATTATTTTTGAATACATTACAATTACGGGTTCAGAAATTTTTTATCCGGGAAAATGTCAAAAATCTGTCAAAATTGTATAACCATGTTTTTTTACCTTTCCTACGCGATAACTCCTAAACTAATCAACTTATTCACATACTCTTTTTTTTTAATCGATTGAGAACACATAGGCGATGGTAGCTGAAGTAATTAAAGTTCCATAGTGAGTGTATTCTTTTTTGGAAAATGGATTAAACTTCAAACATTAACTTTATTGTATCATGATTTTCGGTAAGCGAGAAACTTTTTTATTTGAAGGAATTTTTACATAGTATCTGCGTATGAAATAAAGAAGATATATTGAAAAAGTTTTTAAAACTTGTTACAACCTTCTACTACTAACATTTTTATAGTTATTCTGATTTAAATTTATCATTATCCCGTGCGCGGGCTGTAGAGAGGCCGCGCTATACCGCCCGGCCTGCATCACGTTGTACGGCGTGCTAGATGTGGCATTAATTTATGTTTTAGAGTAAATGTAGAAAATCCTTTTTAAGTAATTATTTAATATCTGAGTAGCACAAATATCGGTGTCGATTTAATACGACATTTTATTTTTGTAATAAATAATATAATAAATAAAAAAAAACATGAAAAAAACATTATTTTTATTACATAATAAGGACATATCTTGAAGTTTGCATAGGATTGAAACTCTTTTATGAAACTAAGAATTTCTTCTTTTAATATAGGTGTTATTATTTGTGTTTTCTGATTATGCTCTTCATACCACTTACATAAAGATTTTAAAAAAAGCCTATTCCTTGAAAAAAGCCAGATTAAGGTGTATTCAGCCTAGCCTAAATGTTAATTTCCTATGTAATCATTTAGGATTATTCCGCAATATTTCGCGAGCTTTTGAATAAATGACCAAGTGTGCTGTTATATAAATATGGTTTTATTTTAAAGTTTGTGCTAAATCTACTAATCTTACCATCGAAGTATATATTATGGTATCACATTCGGTAGGTGGATAAGCAAGTAAAATATTTTGGAGACAAAAAATTCGTTGTCAACTAAAGTGTTGTTAAAATCAGTCCAGTTTAAAAAAGTTCTAGTTTCCTCGTACGGTGAGCAGTAATTTTCGGCGGCCATGGAACAGAATACTTTGTGGAGAACTATATATTTTATGCATAAATATTATTGCCACAAATGTATGTTAATCGATAAGGTGTTATATAATTAGTTTTATTGGCGGTGATGAGGGACTAGAATAGTCAGTCGTTGTATAGTCGTTGTTTGAGTCAGTCTAGGTGGGACACGGCTCGTTTTCTATTTTCTGTTTTCAAGTATGAAAAGTAATACAATAATCAAAGCAGTAGTTGTCTTTTAGTCGATTAGTTTATAGTACTTAACACTGCAAATAATTTGCCATGCTAGATTCTTTTTTTAGATTTTTTCTTCTTCGAATATTTTTTTTAGATTCTTTTATTCCCAACGTAATAGATTTTAATTGAGGATGTTAGGCTAGATAAAATTTATTTGATCTCTAACTAGAACAAAGTGTTGTTACAAAGCCTAATAAGCATGGAACATTGTTAAAATTGAATTAACTTAAAACCAATAATACTTACATTATATGACTGCAGTTGAATAAAAACATAGATATACATAAATATGTATGTATATCGCATTTAATATTAAATAAATATTTATATGTAGAGTCCGCTTTAATACGCTTTAATAATTTATTTTATATGATTTATTTAATATTAAATGGCTATTTGTTCTAGGTAGAGATCAAATAAATATTATCTAGCCTAACATCCTCCATTAAAATCTATTACGTTGGGTAGAAAAGAATTTAAAACAAGAATCTAGCATGGCAAATTATTCGCATTGTTAAGTAAGAAGAAACTTTTTTAAACTGGAATACAAAAAAATACAATATTTTACTTGCCATTTTTACAATCCACCTACCGACCGAATGTGATACCATATACTTTGATGGTAAGATTAGTAGATTTAGCACAAACTTTAAAACAAAACCATATTTATATAACAGCACACTTGGTCATTTATTCAAAAGCTCGCGAAATATTGCGGAATAATCCTAAATGATTACATGGGAAATTAACATTTAGGCTAGGCTGAATACACCGTAATCTGGCTTTTTTCAAGGAATAACTTTAGTTGCCGATGCTCTTTTTAGGCTTTTTTTAAATCTTTATGTAAGTGGTATGAAGAGCATAATCAGAAAACACCAATAATAACACCTATATTAAAAGAAGAAATTCGTAGTTTAATAAAAGAGTTTCAATCATATGCAAACTTCAAGATATGTCCTTATTATGTAATAAAAATAATGTCTTTTCATGTTTTTTTTTATTTATTTATTATTTATTACAAAAATAAAATGTCGTATTAAATCGACACCGATATTTGTGCTACTCAGATATTAAATAATTACTTAAAAAGAATTTTCTACATTTACTCTAAAACATAAATTAATGCCACATCTAGCACGCCGTACAACGTGATGCAGGCCGGGCGGTATAGCGCGGCCTCTCTACAGCCCGCGCACGGGATAGTGATAAATTTAAATCAGAATAACTATAAAAATGTTAGTAGTAGAAGGTTGTAACAAGTTTTAAAAACTTTTTCAATATATCTTCTTTATTTCATACGCAGATATTATGTAAAAATTCCTTCAAATAAAAAAGTTTCTCGCTTACCGAAAATCATGATACAATAAAGTTAATGTTTGAAGTTTAATCCATTTTCCAAAAAAGAATACACTCACTATGGAACTTTAATTACTTCAGCTACCATCGCCTATGTGTTCTCAATCGATTAAAAAAAAGAGTATGTGAATAAGTTGATTAGTTTAGGAGTTATCGCGTAGGAAAGGTAAAAAAACATGGTTATACATTTTTGACAGATTTTTGACATTTTCCCAGATAAAAAATTTCTGACCCCCCCCAAAAAGGTCGTAATTAGTCATTTCACATGCACAAAGCCCTAACTGATCATTTCATAAAGATGTTATGTGGTTATACCTTCAAAAAAATTTTTTCGAGAAGGAAGCGACTTTTCTCAGTGATTTTACTCGACTATTAAGAATACGATATATTTAGACACAATAAAATATGTACTATTTACAAAATCCTCAGATATCTGCTACAATTTCTGTAAGTAATTCTGCATGTTTAAATTTCTGATTTCATGCTTGCATTAGAGGTAGAAATTCCAGAAGAAACTGGTAAGTTTTTAAACATGCTTTCTATGTTCATTAAAAATATATTCAGTGACCTTTAAAATGGTGAACTATCCAGTTATCGAAAAAGCTAAAAAATAACGTAAAAATTAAATTTAATAGAATTAAATAGCCTTGGATATCTGTCAAATTTAGCATTTAAAGAAATAAATTACTAAAAATAGGGTTTCTGGAAAAAAAACTAATAATTTTTAATCAAAAGTTAAATTATGTTGTAAAAAATATAGCTTGCATGAATTACTGTCCTACATATATATTGAGGTAACATTATTCATATATCATTTTTCTCTCTAATTATTCAACTTAAGTTTACATTTTCTTTAAAAATAATGCCTGCTATATACATATATAGTATAGTTTTGTTAAACAAGATATTTTATAATACTTTTTTTTTAATTTGATCGATGAGCATTGCATCATAAACAAAAATTGTATATGCAGTCTATGAAAAATAAATTTTGTTAGGTTAGGAATTCAGGATGTCATGTGCATAAACGGGGAACTTATATTCTTAGTTATGTATTTCCTTCAATTTTTTACAACTTTACTGTTACATTTTTTATTTCTACATTTTTTTATTGATTAACCCAATATTAACTACAAACTGTGCTCTGCGTCTAACTTAATTTTTACGATTTTTCCTCCACTTAACTTAAAAAAAAACACAAAACACACGTAATAACACGAACCCAAACGTAAAAGCGAATGTTTATCGCCAGATTATTTGACATAACTTGACCAAATTATAACCTATAATTTGGTAAGAGTTTGACAAGTCTCAAAAATTTTAAGTCGAGTTCATACGCATCTACGACCGTTCGTCGTTCATCGTCCCGTCATTCCAATCATGTTGAAATATGATTTGTTATTTTTTAAATAATCCAATAAGATTCGTTAAAAACAAGAGACGACGCATGACGGATCTATATAATATAAGCCCATCCATAGTTTACTTAAGAAATATTAGAAAGTTTTTTTAGTGAAATAAATGGATTGGTATGGACGTCATCTGCCTTTTTTCTGTCGTCTGTCGAAATCTTATAACGCAACACAGAGTATACCATCAGTTACTTTTGCTCCTACTTCGAAAATTGATACATTCATGTTAAATTATAAAAAAATTGGCGCCGGGAGGCACGTATAGCCGCCCGTACTTGATATTTTTTTCTCTCTCAAAAACTGCGACTTTGACTGATTTTTATGTTATTACAAAAAATGTTGCAACTATTATTCCTACTCTTAAATTGAAAACCGCGTTTCGCTAGCTACTGTAATTTTGGAGTTACGATTTTTTAAAATTTTTAACTCCCTCCCATACCCCCTTACCAAAAACTAATGGCCACAGTATTTTTGTGCCAAATTTGATTAAATCGGTTTAGCGGTGGAGTTATCGTGTTACAGACGGACAGACAGACAGACAGACACCATGAAAATATTTTGTATTTAGGTCATTTATGACCCAAATAACTCATTTTGAGTGAAATAAAAAAAAAATTGCCGATCTTAATACCCTACCATACCATTACCATTTGTTAGATCAAGTTGTTCAACTTTCGGCCAATAAACAAAGTTTTTAGCCATATTTTACTTTAAATGTTAAATTTGACATTTAACGTAAAATTGTTTTACCTAAACCGATTAATAAAACAAATTCTCATATGATGTGTGTGGACTTATCTATGGCACTGTACGTTGTAAGGTGCAGTAAAACAGTTTGTCTTTTTTCATAATCTTTGTGTCTTTTATCATCATTGTATCTCCATAGTTTATAAGATGCCTATGGGTCTCGTTATGGGTTTATGAGGTCCAGAATGAGAAGGGATTCTTATTTTAGAGCTCTTGTGTTTTATGTTTCAAATGATGTATTTTTTTAATACGAGTAAATTGTTTTATTCTAGCTGAAACTTTGGGAATGGAAAGCAACGCTACGTTAGAACGACGGGGATCGATATTCTTTTCCTCAAACGTGGCTGACGCAATCGACGGTCAAGCGATTGAGATTAAATCGCCAGAAAAAATTGCAAAAGACAACGCTGAAACGAAAAAAGAACCTCCTATTTTATCTATTTCTAGACATAAAGCCCAGAGTGAATCTCAGACGTATGCAGACACAGAGGTAGGAGCTTATTTAACTATTCATTTGATTTAGAGCATGCACAGGTATATTTCATATCAATTAAACTTTTAGTTACGTAATCGAGGGCGCAATTTTAAAATTCATTGTTGCCAGCCATGGACATTTTCGGCATCGTACCGTGCCGACTAACTGGAATTTAAATTTGGCGCTGGGGATTCGGGTGGTATAGTTCTGCTGTAAAAAAGGTCAAGTTGCCTCATTTATTTTTTTATTTCCTGACATTGTCATTCGTTTTGACACTTTAGTTTTGTATTACGAGTTTTTGGTTTAAATACATAGTTTTGTGATATTTTGAGCGTGAAAATGTTTACTAGTAGATCTTGCAGTTGAACATTGTTCTTTTTAGAACATATTTTAGTGCGAAGTGTACAAGTTAGTTTAATAGCCGTAAAAAACGCATCGCAACTTTATTATAATATTTTTAACGGGAAAGCGGTAGTAATGGCCATTTATCTCCCTTAAGTACTGTTAAGAAGGTGATTTTTGATGATGTAAATAATAACTGTTTATCCCGGGTGCGTCTCAAAAGTGGCTCACCCCCATAACTTTTTTATTTTCTCAAAAAACGAGATTTGGTATGTTAGTATGACATAAATTAGGATTGATTGACGTATTCAATTGTTTTCGGCCACTTCCTGTTTCACCGGAAATCACTTCAACTTTTGATTTTTAAATGCCACTCTCAGTATTTTTTTTAGTTTATTCGATAGAAAATGTCACTCTGAACAGAATGACATATCATATGTCAACTTTTGACATTTTCTCTGAAAATAAAATTCTATTTTAAATGTGAATCTAGAGTGCTATGGCTGTGTTAAAAACACTGATTTTTAATCAAGGAGTCTCGGAAAAATAGATTTGATTGTTTAATGTTTTTAATGTCTTGTCCTGACCAGTTAAAAGATGCCCGAATCGTATTTTTAATCATATCTCAATTTTTTCAAATGGAACGAGGGTGGCTCATTAGCATATTTGGAAAAAGCATTTCTTTACGAATAATTTGATACCACACACTTGGTATTTCGAGTCAAATTGTCGTTATGAACCGCATGTTGCAATTTCAAATAAATCATATTCAAAAATGTCAAAAGGTGACATCTGACATGTCATTCTATTCAGAGTGTCATTTCCTATCAAATAAAGTAACGAAATACCGAGGGTGCCATTTGGAAATCAAAAGTTATAGTCATTTCCGGTGAAACAGGAAGTGACCAAAAACAGTTGAATTGTCAATCAATCCTAATTTATGTCATATACAGGGTGGTCCGAACTGTATTCCGGAAACTTCGGCAAAATATTCTGCAAATAAAAATAAGTAAAAAAGTTCGTATAAATGTATGTCCTATGTTCTTAGTTTCGAAGATACAGGGTGTAGAAGTTTAATTTTTATTTCGATTTTTTCCAAATAATTTCTGAAGTAAAGTCAATATTTTGATGAAAATTGGTGTCTGGAAGTTTTTTGACATGAGAAATTTGATTTTCATGTCAATATGACTCCTACTAGTAGAGGGCGCCACTTACATATTTTTAACCGGTTTGAAGAGTAATAACTTTTCGTCCGTACCTGTATAAAACTATTGAGTAAAAAATATACACTCACGACGTTTTTTACGTGAAAAAGGTCTCTTGGTAAAAATCGCTATGAGTAATGGTTTTCGAGATATTTGGAATCGAAATTATCAATACCTGTCATCATTGACATTAATTAAACATGTTGACTAAATAGTTATTAGACTGAAATCATAAATTTGAAACGATTTTGTGCCAAAAGTTCAACAGAAACTGTTTTATCATTTTTTGCAGAAAAATTTATGATTAACTTAAAAAAAATAAAAATTTCCCAAATTTATTATTTCAGTGAAATAACTATCTAACTGAACGTGTTTATTTTTCGTCAATATAATGACATGTATTGACTATTTCCCTTCTAAATATCTTAAGAACGGTTGCTCGTAGCAATTTTTACAAAGAGATATTTTTTACGTAAAAAGTCACAGAGATGTATAGTTTTTCGCTCGATAGTTTTATACAGGCACGGACAAAAAGTTATTACGCTTCAATACAATTAAAACACATGTAGGTGGCGCCCTCTACTAGTAGGAGTCATATTGACATCAAAATCAAATTTCTCTTGTCAAAAAACTCCCAAACACCAATTTTCATCCAAATATTGACGTTACTTCAGAAATTATTTAGAAAAAATCGAAATAAAAATGAAACTTCTACACCCTGTATCTCTGAAACTAAGCATTTTAGGTCCTACATTTATACGAACTTTTTTACTTATTTTTATCTGCAGAATATGCTGCCGAAGTTTCCGGAATACAGTTCGGACCACCCTGTATACTAACATACTAAATCTCGTTCTGTAATCTGAAAAAATAAAAAAGTTGTTCAGCCACTTTTGAGACGCACCCGGTATATTTATAATTAATTTATTTTTGTTTCCTAAAATATTTTAATTAAAAGAAAATATAAAAAAGTGGGCAACGTTGTGCCGGCCAAGCTTAATCACGTGGCTAAAAGTTTATTTGGTATGAACTGTATGTATTTGTTATAAATATTTTCAATCATAAAAGGAATACAAAGAAATTGCAATGCTGTCTTTCTAGCTATTTTAATTTTTTTAATACAAATTTATCATATTTTTGGGTAACGTTAACAGAATAATTGTCAATGGCTTTGATGACGTGAGTTCTGTAGTTGAATAATGGTATTGTTTCTAGATTGAAGAACTTTTTGCAATGCTTAGAGAATCGGAATCGTTAGACGAACAAGGAGACATATTACAGTATTTGGTTGCTTCAAAAGGTCTAGATTCAAACACCGACATGTTGGAAAATGGCAAAGTAGTTACAGTTAGGGATTTATTGAAAGGTATATTCTAATTTTTTAACTAGTTGTTTTCCAGTTGTAATTTTTGGGCTTGTATCCCAGCAGTGACATGAACTATGTTTCCGTTGTACAAATTTTAAGCGACTTTGTCATATTTTTATCTATAATTTTAATGAAGCCGGTTATCAAATTTTTATTAGTTGATATCAGCTAATAATTAGCTGCCAAAATGGGCAACATAACCAAATGTTATGTTGCCACCTTTGCATTTTGGCAGTTCATGGGCGTGACATTATTACTAAATATGATATGCTATATACTATAATTTAAATATCTCCAGAGATTTAGGTTACTGTAAAAAATATATATTTTTTTAATTTTCAACCCCTAAAATTGCTATTATTGACTCTATGAAATTTTAAAGAAGTTTTCTATTGATAGTCTTGCTATAAAAAAGGGGATTACACAGATGTATCTATCCAGTGATAGATTGGTATTTTGTTTACAACAAATGTCAGAAAAAAAAGAATTCAGTATCTAAATGAAGTGACAGACAAGGTTTGTTAACTAACTTTGTCATAATATATTTTTTATTGGACCGACTATATAAATTATTTTTTTGTCATACGCTCCCAAAAACAGCTATTTTACGGACTCATTTCAGTCCGTAAAATGTTTCTTTTTCGGCCTAGGCCGTAAAGGTCGTCATGGCAACCTTTATGGACTAAAATGTCTAAATTCGTTATTTGGTTGTTTTATTTTGTCATTCGAAATTTGTCACAAAATCACATAAAATTATACATATATTTATAATTAAATTATTAAATACTAACAATATCAAAAAGCTAAGTTATTTGTTTTAAAGTAAGTACCTAGGTACCTATTTTAAAGAGGCTTTTTAAATTAAAAATATTCTTAAATTACAGTCACAAACAAGACATAATCATGTGGTACAGTTTTTTGGCCTAAGACAAGCATATTTTTCTATACAACTCAACTGATTGGACAACGTTCCTCTGTTCACCACCTGAAACACTCTTTGATATTAGTTTTGTATCCGCAAGGGTAACTAAAAGGCAGCTGTTGTCTTTTTTTCTATGATGTCTTGCACTCGTAGAGTAGTACAATTCTTCTCTTCTTGCTCCACAAAGGCCAATGACAAGAGCTACCTAAAAATCAAATACAATGGAATAAGAAACCATCTATATATTTTAAAAATCATTATCGCAAACTTACCTTAGTAAGTAAATAAGTTTCATCACTAGCCGTGGCCAAAAAATCACCGATCTCTTTTATGGACAAAACCTTAGACTTTTAGGCTCAGTAACCAACCGAATTCCTCTTCAAAAAAGCAATAAGTTTTAAAAATTTGTCAATATAAATATCTTCTTTAACACTTAACACTGCTCTCAGCATGGAATATTTCGACCAAATTGACGATGGTTTGAATGTTTTTGTGACTGTAATTTAAAGAATATTTTAATTTAAAAGCCTTCTTTAAATAGGTACCTAGGTACTTACTTTTTTCGTGGAAATAATTTAGCAATACATCTTCATTTTTACAACGAATACGCCATTTTTGTCTTTCCATTCATTAAAAACATCATATTCTTTCTGGTAAATGGCACGAGACTTCACAGGAAGTAAATCCAACACGATTTCTTTGGCCTTATTAGCAATATGTTCGGGATTTTTGGAACATTTTAAAATTGTTGATGAATTTGTGTGATTTTGTGACAAATTTTCGAAATGACATGTCAAAATGCGATGAAATAAACAAACTCGTTACTAAGATATGAATTTATAAGCCAACTTTTTCAAACATTATAATTTCAAATATGGAAAATTTGCAAATATGCGGTTCTAACAAAAACTGTAAAAAGCGTATGACAAAATAGTGGGTGTAACACGTAATTAAATTAATGTTTTTTAGACTCATCTACACATTGACTCGGCTAACGCCTCGTCCGCAAACAGTAATGATTCGTCCTAAAAAACATCATTTTAGGTACTAGTTACATAAATAGCTATATCATGAATTTTCCTTCCATTGTAGGACTATATGAGAAAGCTTGTCAGCAGAAGATGTGGGGTTTGGTAAGGCATACGGCGGGTATGCTGGGTAAAAGAGTTGAGGATTTGGCTAAATCAGTAACTGATTTATTGGTAAGGCAGAAACAAATTACTGTTGGAATGCCTCCAAATAACGAACATACAATAACAGCGCCATTACCTGAAAGTGAACTGAGGTAAAGTAATATATTTAATAATTTATTTTGCACATTTGGAATAATAATATCGATCGCGCTCTAAGTTTGAAACGAATTCTTATCTATTAGAAATTTAATTCGGTAATAGTTCTTTCTAATTTTTATTTATATCAGAAAAACAATAGATAGTTTTTTAGCCTTGATTGCATATATTCCAATAATTATATTATAAATATAAAGTTTTTTAATAGAATAAAATTAAATTTGATTTTCCAGACTGTTAATTCATGAAGCATACGGACAAGACGACAGTACTGCCATGTTAACACAAGAGCTTCTTGTTTATCTTGCTATGTTTATTAGAACAGAACCACAACTTTTCATGGAAATGTTGAGACTGAGAATCGGTTTGATTATTCAAGTTATGGCTACCGAACTCTCCAGAACATTAATATGCGATGGAGATGAGGCTTCTGAACATTTACTCAATTTGAGTCCATTTGAAATGAAAAATTTACTGTACCATATTATAAGTGGAAAGGAGTTTGTTATAAGTAGTGGTAAGATTGTATTTTTTATTATTTCTTTATATTTTGTATTGTACATTCTTTATATTTTCTTACAAACTAAATTTTATTTATCCAAGTTTAAAAAAAATCATTATGATGATAGGGCAGCTCCAACTAACGTCGTTATTTATGTACTGTTATATTGAGCGAACTGGTTGTTGCAGGAAACGATCATGCCAATTTTTTTAAAGGTTTAAATTCATTAAAAGTTTCAATTTAAAAAAATGGAGCTGCCTGGATATTGCAGCCACCTCTTTAATTGACATTAAGAAACATAAGCTTTTATTTTTGTGGTACTGCTATTCTTACTATATTAATTTTACAGTAGGTCGAGGTAATCTCTCTATTGTCAGCAACAAATCTGGTAGGATAAGCAAGGTAGGTTATAGCAAAGTTTACAGAATAAAATATAAGTTCGGTCTCTTAGCATCGGCACTTTGAAAATCGCGTATCAAAAGCCAGAAGCCGCCTCGGAGAACGGGAGTGGAAGCCGGGGTAAATAGAAGCCGCATTTTTATCGATCGCAATGTGCGACAAGGCGCAGGGGAACGTGGGGTATTTCAAAATACCTAATGGTAAATCTTACAAAAGAAAAAATATACTATCAGTTTATTGGTGTATTACATATAAATATTTAGACATGGCAAGATAAATAAGATATAGCAAAAATAAAATAAATTTTAAAAACAAACACAAAAGATAAAGTTACACAATATCAACAGTAAATAATGTAATAGTATATTACGTAACGAGTGTTTTGGAAAAAATAATATTACACACGAGTGCAGTATTCTATAGTGCGTAATATGGTTTTCCAACAGGAATTACGTACACTATAAAATTCAAAGCTGAAACTATTAAAATGTCAACAACTTTTGATGTTTAAATGGCATCCTCGGTATTTTTTTTTACTTTATTCGATAGAAAATGACACTCTGAGTAAAAAGACATATCATATATGTCAACGTTTAACAGTTTCACATATGATTTATTTGAAAGTGTAACACGCGGTTTATAACGACAATTTGACTCGAAATACCAAGTGTGTGGCATCAAATTATTTGTAAAAAAATACTTTTTTCAAATATACTAATTAGCCACCCTCTTTTCATTTGAAAAAATTAAGATATGATTAAAAATACCATTTGGGCATCTTTTAACCGGCCAAAATAAGACATGAAAAACATTAGACGATCAAATATATTTTTCCCAAGGCTCCTTGATTAAAAATTATTGTTTTAAGACAGCCATGACACTCAATATTGAAATTTTAAAAGATTTTTTTTAAGCTAGAATGCCAAAAGTTGACATATGATATGTCATTCTATTCAGAGTGTCATTTTTTATCGAATAAAGTAGAAAAATGCCGAGGATGCCGTTTAAAAATCAAAAGTTGTAGTCATTTTCGGTGAAACCGGAAGTGACCGAAAAAAATTAAAGACGTTAATCAATCCTAATTTATGTCATATACTAACATATCAAATCTCGTTTTTTTTATCTGAAAAAATAAAAAAGTTATAGGGATGAGCCACTTTTGAGACGCACCCAGTATATAATTTTTCGTGTAAAAAAATAAAGTGTTCTTGAATAATTCTAATTAGATATTTTAAATAGTTTTTTTGCTATTTGTCTTTTTTGCTTAAGACGACGGGAGGAGATACCTCCTGAAACATTATTTTTGTCGGTTAGACAAATTTGTTTTACTAGTAAAATACTTCTGAAAACTGATCTCTGTTTAGATTTAACGCAGTAGTGTACCTATACAAAAAATATATTTTTATTTTGTCGATTTTTTTCCAGTGGCGAAAAACTCAATATTGTTTTTAAGAAATAATAACAATAATTACGCTTTTTTTGCTTTTTTTATAATAAACTATTAACTAAGGCTAATGTGATCAGTAACATTTTGCAATGAAAATTAAATAACCACTTGAAAAATCATTGCATATGCATGCGAGACCACTCTGTAATAACGCCAAAATCAGAGTAATACGCCAAACGTGAGTCGTCGTGTATGCTGGGTCCAAAGTCCACACACCAGTAATACACTGGGAAACACGTGCGTGAAGCGGCTTTTGATACCTGCCGCCGGCACAAGTGACGGAACTTATATTTTATTTTGTAAACTTTGGTTATAGTAGACTTAACTCTAACTTAGCTTATAAGCCATACACTAAAATATTGGGGAAATTAAAATAACTTTCGTTGCACATCATAATACGACCACCAGCAAACTCCATAAGACGACGCATGGTGTCATTGATGACGTGCAACGAAAGTTGTTTTAATTTCCCTTTAGTAAAATATGCATATATTGGATATCAATTAAACTTTCAGTTACGTAATCGAGGGCGCGATTTTTAAATTCATTGTTGCCAGCCATGGACATATTCGGCGCCTGGCTGACTAACTGGAATTTAAATTTCCCGGTGGGGATTCAGGTGGCATCTCTGCTGTTAAAAATGTCAAGTTGTCACATTTATTTATTTATATATATTTTATTATATCACATGACATTTGTCATTCGTTTTGACGACACTTTAGTTTTGTATTACGAGTTTTTGTTTTAAATGAATTATTGTGATGTGATATTTTAAGCTTAAACATTTTCATTAGCAGACTTTTAGAACTTCTTTTAGTGTGAAGTGTACAAGATAGCTTAATAGCCGTAAAAAAATCATCGCAACTTTATTAGAATATTTTTAACAGGAAAGCGGTAGCAATGGCCCTTTATGTCCTTTAAGTGCTTTAAGAAGGTGAGTTTTGTTGATGTAAATAATAAATGTTTATATATTTATAATTAATTTATTTTTGTTTCCTAAAATATTTTGATTAAAAGAAAATATGTAAAAGTGGGCAACGCTGTTCCATTCAAGCTTAATCACGTGACTAAGTTTATTTGATATGAACTATACACATATTTTACTACACATATTTTGCTGATATAACTCTGTCCAACGAAAAGATTCTTGACAGTGATAGATGTGTCTGTCATTTTATTTTCAAAGTAGTTTATTTGATTTTAAAAAGAAATAAGTTAGTGCAATTGGAACGCATAGCAGAAAATTAATATATTGTCAAGAAAAATGGCGTATCCGCCAGAAATTAAAAATGTATTACTGGTTGCCTGCACAACCGCAACGTATCCGCCAGAAATTAAAAGACTTTTTCAGGCGCCATCTTTTAGTCAAGTCGAGAAGTAAGGGAATCAGACAATGGAATTGTCTGGTATGAAGAAGTACGCTTTCCGAGAATTGGGGAAATTTCGAGAAGCAGTCAATAGAGTATATAAGCCGGAGCCATCGACCACTGAGACAGTTTTTTGAAATTTGAATATACCGCGTGGAAATTGAAAATCGGACAATTTGGTGAAGGAATCTTATAAATAGTTAGTTGTTGTGTGTTATAAGTTAGTAATTGTGTATAAAGTAAGAAAAATAAATTCGTTAAGTATTTTATCGTGAGTTTAAATTAGTGGACCCACGGAATCCGTAACAATTGGTGTCAGAAGTGGGATTCAAGAGGATTTTAAGAAGAAATTAAGTGGATTGGACGATTTTTACACCGAATTTGGGAATTTTTATGGTTGGTACGAGAGGGAGCAGCAAGCGAAAATGGAGGAAGTGGGGCAAATTATTGGGCGATTTTATGGAGAAATTAGAAAGAGAAAAGGAAGAGGAAAAATACGACGTCAACAAGAACAGGACCGGCTTGAGAACATTTTCGAAGATTTAAAAATTCAACGACAACAAGACAAACAAGAAGAACAGGACCGGCTTGAGAAAATTTTCGAAGATTTAAAAATACAACGACAACAAGACAAACAAGAAGAACAGGACCGGCTTGAGAAAATATTAGGAAATTTGGAAATTCGTGTGGAGGAGCGACGTCACAGGGAAAGACAAGAAGATCAGGACCGTCTTAAGAGAACTTTGGAAAATCAGGAATTTCGACTACAGAAGAATTTTGAAGACCTGGAAAAACGGCAGGAAAATCACCTTCAAGAAGCCGTAGAAGATCTTGAGGAACGCCTTCAGCAGAAAATGGAAAAATTAGAGATGGACCTACAGAAGACCAAGGCACAAGTAAGAACACCTGGCGTTCATGGAACTGCGAACCTCAAGGCCCCGACCTACGATGGACAAACCACCTGGACGATGTACCACCGCCAGTTTGAAGCAGCGGCTGCTGCCAATGGATGGACTGACCAGGAGAAAGCAGCGGCACTTGTCATCGCGCTGCGTGGCCCTGCCCTGGAACTCCTGCAAACTATTCCTGCAGCCCAACAGCAGGAATATCAAACTTTGGTCGCTGCACTGGACAGAAGATATGGCGACCAACATCGACGCCAACTTTACCAGGCACAGATCAAGACACGCCTGCAGAGGTCCGGAGAGAGTCTGCAGGAATTTGAAGCAGACTTACGTCGGCTGGTACACCTGGCATATCCAGAAGCACCGGAAGGATTTAGGGAGGAACTCGCTGCTCAGTGCTTTATCAGCGGACTGAGGGACAACGAATTACAGAGGGCGCTGCAAATATCCCGATTTTCCACCAGCAGCGAAGCACTGGTCAGGGCGCTGGAAATCGAAGCTGCCTTTAGCGCCATCCCTAGGCCGAAGATAAGATCGGTAACGGTCGAGGAACAGCCCGAAAGCACTCACAGAGGTTTGGAGGAGATGTGTAAGAAAGTCGACAAACTATGTGAGCTACTAATAAACAAGGGAGTCAACAACACCCAGACAGAGAACCAGAGAAGATTCCAGGACATAAGGTGCTTTAGATGTGGCAGGAATGGCCACATCAAACGGGATTGCCGCGTTCAAATGCGATCCCGTTCACCATCCAGAGAACGTAGGCACCAGGAAAACTAAAATCAGTCAATACTAAGGGGCGAGTATTGACTGGGGAGAACAGAGCCCCCAGGATTTTTTCCATTAGAAGTCTAGGAAGAACCGCTGACAGTTTGGTGATCGACGGGAAAGTCAATGGAAAGGGAATCCGAATGACAGTGGACACTGGCGCTATGGTATCGTTGGTGCGGGCTAACTCAGTGCAAGGATTGAAGCTGATGCCTCTGAGAAGAAGAGTGTGTTTACGTACAGTTACGGGGGAAATGGCCGTTGTACGGGGAGAGGCTATCGTCGAACTGAAGTTAGGAAATTTGAAGTTCCAGCATAGCGTTTTAGTGGCAGATATTGAAGATGACTTCATCTTGGGCATGGATGTGATTCGTCAACATGGATTTTCGTTCGATCACCAGAGAAATATCCTGAATATCGGAAATGAAGAGTTTATGTTATCTCCAGACGAGGGACCAGGAAGAATGGATGTAAGATCAGCGGAAACTGTGGTGATACCTGGTAATACCGAGAAGATCGTATTCGGTAAAGTGGAGAAAATCGCTGGGTGCTGTGTTGGACTGGTAAAAGTAGCGACAAGAAACAAGATAGGTACTTAGTAGGAAAGTCATTGGTGAACACTGACAAGAATATACCGATCAGAATTGCGAATGTTTTCCCGAATTGTGTCAAGATTCAAAAAGGTGACAAGATAGCCATCTGCGAACCTGTAAGAAGTGACACCCGATGTGATGAAGTGCCGTCAGCTGTTACACAAATGGCATCCAAAGAAACACTAAAACATCTAGAGCAGCCATGGGATCACCTAACATCTGAGGAGAAACAGAAGGCTAAGCAGTTCCTGCTTAAGCATGGCAGTATTTTTGAGAAGAACAACAGTGGAAGAACGGATTTTGTGAAGCACCGGATTAATACTGGTCATTCTCAGCCAATTCGACAACGTCCTAGAAGGGTGCCCCTTTCAAAACAACAAGAAATGGAGACAATGGTAGATAAGATGCTAGAAGATGGAGTTATCGAAGAATCATCGAGTCCATGGTCATCTCCTGTTGTTTTGGTGACGAAGAAAGATGGTAGTACACGATTCTGCGTGGACTATCGGAAGCTCAATGACGTCACTAAGAAGGACAGCTACCCACTGCCACGTATAGACGACACGTTAACCACACTGGCAGGTTCGTGCTGGTTCTCCACTCTCGACTTAAAGAGTGGATACTGGCAAGTTGGTCTGGACGAGGAAGACAAAGAAAAGACGGCTTTTTCTACAGGAAACGGACTATACCAATTCAAGGTCATGCCGTTTGGATTATGCAATGCTCCAGCCACTTTCGAACGTCTCATGGAGGTGGTGTTAAGAGGATTAACTTGGAAAACGTGCTTGGTTTACCTCGACGATGTATTGGTTATGGGAAGAACTTTTGAGGAGCATTTGCGAAATTTAGAAGAAGTCTTCGGCCGCATAAGGAATGCGCACCTGTACTTGAACCCGAAGAAGTGTAGCTTATTCCAGCGACAAGTGCGAATTTTTGGGCCATGTAGTCTCAGCAGACGGAATTTACACCGACCAGAAGAAAATCGCTGCAATCAAGGATTGGCCTAAACTCGCGACAAACATGAACTTAGAAGTTTTCTGGGTTTATGCACCTATTACAGAAGATTTGTCAAGGGATTTGCCAATATAGCTGCACCCTTACATAGACTTACAGGTGATGAAGTCGGCTACGAATGGAACACCGATTGTGATGTAGCCTTTGGAAGACTTAAGGCGGCTTTATGTTCAAGTCCTATTCTAGCCTACCCGCAACAACAAGGGAGGTATATCCTGGATACCGACGCCAGCAATATCGGCATAGGTGCAGTGCTATCACAAGTGCAAGATGGCGAAGAACGAGTGATAGAATATTACAGTCGAGTTCTATCCAAACCAGAAAGGAATTACTGCGTTACCCGGAAGGAGCTGCTAGCAATTGTGAAGGCAGTTGATCATTTTCATAAATATCTGTACGGCCAAGAATTTTTAATTAGGACAGATCATGCGGCTCTCAAGTGGCTTATGGAGATGAAACAACCTGAAGGTCAAATAGCACGATGGCTCGAGAAGCTCCAACAGTATCACTTTACCATCCAACATCGTGCTGGAAAAATGCATGGTAACGCAGACGGTTTATCCAGAAGACCCTGTCAAACCGATTGTAAGCACTGCTGTAAAACGGAACAACGTGAAGGCACTGTCATGATAAGGAGTTTTAAACTTGGAACCGATGAACAGTGGACGACGACACAATTGAGGAAAGATCAAATGGAAGATCCAGACATCGGAGCAATACTACGGCTCAAGGAAGGTAACGGCGAGAGACCACCGTGGCAGGATATTGCGGACAGAGGGCTCGTTTTCAAAGCTCTCTGGGCTCAGTGGAATTCACTGGTTATTGAGAATGGATTGTTAAAGCGCACGTGGGAAAGTGCGGATGGCAGGACAGTAACAACTCAGTTACTGGTACCAAGGAAGAAAGTTACCCAGGTATTGGAAGAAATTCACGGTGAATTCATTGAAGAACACCTCTCGAAAATGGTGGCCGAACATCAAAGAGATTGGGATCAACACATACCGCTGTTCCTAATGGCGTATAGAAGTGCAGTTCACAACACCACCGGACTTTCACCATCGAAGATTTTATTTGGTCGAGAATTACGGTTGCCTTGTGACTTAGTGTTCGGATCACCAGACGACGGCACCACAAATGTAGAGGACTACGCGGATGAACTGAAGGAAAGGTTAATGGAAATTCATAAGGCCGTAAGAAGTAAGATTACGCTAGCCAGTGACCGGATGAAAGCTCGTTACGACCTCAGAGCCAATTCTACGGGATTTCAACAGGACGATATGGTATGGTTATATAACCCACAGCGCAAGAAAGGGAGGAGTCCCTGGCAAAGTTAACTCCAGCATGGGAAGGTCCTTATACAGTCATCAAGAGGATAAATGATGTTGCGTACCGGATTCAACGCAGCAGCTCTAGAAGTAAGATGAAAAGTAGTTCATCTGGATCGATTGAAGAGATACCAGACAGGGAAATCTTGATCGGGACGATCAAATTTGAGAAGGGGCAATGTCAAGAAAAATGGCGTATCCGCCAGAAATTAAAATGTATTACTGGTTGCCTGCACAACCGCAACGTATCCGCCAGAAATTAAAAGACTTTTTCAGGCGCCATCTTTTACTAGTCAAGTCGAGAAGTAAGGGAATCAGACAATGGAATTGTCTGGTATGAAGAAGTACGCTTTCCGAGAATTGGGGAAATTTCGAGAAGCAGTCAATAGAGTATATAGCCGGAGCCATCGACAACTGAGACAGTTTTTGAAATTTGAATATACCGCGTGGAAATTGAAAATCGGACAATTTGGTGAAGGAATCTTATAAATAGTTAGTTTGTTGTGTGTTATAAGTTAGTAATTGTGTATAAAGTGAGAAAATAAATTCGTTAAGTATTTTATCGTGAGTTTAAATTAGTGGGCCCACGGAATCCGTAACAATATTTAAAATTTGAGTGACAAGTGATTACTTCAAAATATTGTGAAAAAAAACTGTATAAAATTAAGTAAAATACTTCTGAAAACTGATCTCTGTTTAGATTTAACGCAGTAGTGTACCTATACAAAAAATATATTTTTATTTTGTCGATTTTTTTCCAGTGGCGAAAAACTCAATATTGTTTTTAAGAAATAATAACAATAATTACGCTTTTTTTGCTTTTTTTATAATAAACTACTAACTAAGGCTAATGTGATTGAAATTGAAAAAAATTAAGAGTTATTTTATTAAAAACAATTACAGTATTGTTAATACAAAATAAGCAAGGGTGTACTTCAATAAACTGTACTGTACTTTAATAAAACTTTTTTTGGTATGTGGTACCAAAAAAAGATATAAAAAGATTTCCTGCTCTCAAGCCGTGTTTCAAGCTCAAGCAACTTCCTCCATTTATTGTTACATTTATCAATATAATTGTGCAATATGATTATTTACCTATCGTGTGCTGCTATTTAACAGATACTCCAGTTTTTAGTATCATATACAAGATAGTATACAAACTTTATTTGTGGCTAATACAATTTTCTGGCCATAATCTCTGGCAAACTGTCTCTGGGCACCGAATATTAACTGTAAACTATGGCCTGGGTCAACACTTAATTTCCCCTTTGAGTTTTCCTCCACTTAAAATTTAAAAAAACACGAAACACACTTAATAACACAGTCCAAAATGCAAAATGGAAAATATTTATCATTTCTATTTGACATAATTTGACACAAAATTATAACCTATTTGACAACTCTCAAAAATCTTAAGTCGAGTTCATACGCATCGACGTCCGTTTGTCGTTCATCGTTCCGTTAAACCAATAATATTGAAATATGATCTGTCATTTTTGAAATAAACCAATAAGACTGGTTAAAAACAACAAGAGACGACGCATGACGGATTTATATTTAAACCCATCCATAGTTAACTTGAAAAATATTAGAAACTTTTTTTAGTAAAATAAATAGATTGGTATGGGACGCCATCTGCTTTTCTTCTGTCATCGTCTGTCAAAATCTTACCTGAGAAAAAAAAACTAACGTATATATACTTCCAGTAACAATATCTTTAGTTTTTACTGTGTACTGTATTTTTGTATATATTTATTATAGACAGGGTGTCTCTTAAGTAGTGCAATTATTTTAACTATAGTTTGTCAAACGAATCAATGAAGAATTCAATAGACGACATCCAAAAAATTACATTTGAAAATTCCATTTGCTTGTGAATTAAAATGACAACTATCACTGTCAGGGATCCTCTCTTTAGACAAACTATAGTGGTATTTCGCGACCCCAGAAAAATCCATGATTTTTTGCAAAAAAATGTTTAAAATTTTACATTTTTGTATAATTTTCTTGGAAATTTTAAAGTTATTAGTATCTCATCAGGTTGTTTCTCTCTTAAATTTCATGATGGTATATTGAATCCTTGCAATATTGTTACCTTCTGTTGTCCACTTCCTGTGGTTAAAATTAATTTTATGATAAGTGGGGCTAGGTGACAAAACATGGAAAAAAGTCAAAGAGAAGTTCCTCATTTGTTGCGATTTTTTTCACACACTGTATTAACAAATTAGCTTATGTTTGTTAAACTTAAAAGTTGGCTTATTAATTCAATGCAAATCAATATTCTTTTTATAGAAAAGCCATATAAGTCTGGTAGCTGATTATTCTACTGATGAACTGATTGAACCAGATAGGCAAGGTCAGTGGCTAAGACGCAGAAGACTTGATGGTGCCCTCAATAGGGTCCCTAGAGATTTCTATCCTAGAGTTTGGCATGTGTTGGAGAGGGTAAGTCATATTAAATTAAAATTTAAAAAAAATGTTACTCTATTATTTTTTGTAAAATCATTTATTTTTATGTTATTAAATTGACTTATTGTCAGAAATTTGTTAATCATATGTTAACTATCTATGCTAGTTAACATGGGGAGCAGAGAGAATGCATTTTGTCCATTTTTTTCGAATTTTGACAAACAAAAAAACTGCCACCCGTTTTTGCAAGAAACTTGCCGAAAAACTAGTATACTTGTAAAATGGATAAAAATCATAAAAATAGTACACCCAAAGAATATACCTAGCTAGAAAAAGAATGGACTCTGCCATACTGAAAAATGGTCCTACAGAAGTGGCGCCATCTATTGAGTAGGGCTTGTTTTAAATGGATCGAAGCGCGGGCTTTTTAAATGAGCGTATTTATTGAATTTTACTCTAAAATAATTAAATTTGATTATTAAATCTTATTTTTACACAAATTCAACAATACAATAACAAGTATCGTTGTGATGTGTAAAAAATAAGATTTAAAAGTATAATTTATACAATTATTAAATAAAATTAAGGCCAAACATGTGAAATATTATTTATTATTTAAAGTTTTTATTTATAAGTGAAATATTTAAACATCGTTTATTGTAATAAAACAAGACCAACGTAATACGCCCAAAGTTTTGTAAATGGTATAAATATAAATAGGTACTTAAATGATGGCAAAAATAAAAGACTTACATTATATTTTTAGGGCCACAAACAAAAGGAATTGTCTAATTAAAACACATATAACAAATTATAGTTTGAAAAACGTTTTGATAATCATTTATTTGATAATATTATGATTGGCGCTATGACAACGTTAATATTTTTTGAGAATTTGACAATAATATGACAATGGCGTTGGAAACTATGGAAACTACAAAAAAATCTGATTTAACGCCATCTGGCAATAACTAGTAGCAACTTCTTAACCTAAAAATTAATTGCACTACCACCTAGTGGCTAGGGCTGGAACTATTTTATTTGAGATTTCCGTGGAAACGATGGAACCGCTTTTGCTATTTCACTTTCCCGCCCCTGAGTACACCTACATATGTGAAAAATCTAGTTTTGATGATATCTGAAAAATATTGAAAAAAAACTCTTGAATGTCCTTAATATGTAATTAAGGACTTATTTTTTTGCATTTATTATATTTTTGCTATTATCTGTTTGAAAGAAAATATCAAGATGCGGTTTTGGCTGACTGTATAATCTTTTATAACTCTTTATCAGCTAAAATTACATATACTGTCGCATTTAAACTTTTTGATAAAAGCACAATGTTTGTTAAATTATAAGACAACCCCTAGCGTCTTCTGTCAAATGCTTATTATTTATTATTGTTTATATGGTAAATATAAAGCAAGAAACACTCTTTTAAACTAGCCCTAGTTCGTTGTATTCCGTTTATCCAGTTCGGAGTTATTAAAATATTAAACTAAAAAAGATCCCAAATTTGCTGAAGATTATGACGCCGTTATTTGTAGTATCGTTTATCTAGACAAAATTTTGTACGAATTTCAATTTTATATTTGCCATAGCAGTTGCATCTTCTAGCGGCCATTCTACAGGGTTGTTCACCACATACGACACGGAGTATTGTTGCTAAACGATTAGATTTTTACAAATTGTAAGTTTTGGGTTCGTTGAAGGACTATTAGAGCTACAATTTAAAAATATTTTTACAAGATGGTTACTGGATTTTTACAGAGTGTCCCAAATAAATAATAAATATCAAAGTTGTATTTTTTTAAATGGAACACCCTGTATATTATTGCATTTTTAGCTTCTACGATTAAAATAAAGGTAAATCTGATAAAGGCTTATTACACTTAAACCTTACCGTTTTTGAAATATTTTGAATTTTGTAAAATTGCAGCCTTTTACGGCTTCATTTCTCCGAGGGTATCAAAGTTTTTAATACTAAATATTTACTGAAGTTTATTTATTGATCAGTTATTGTGTTGCAATAATAAAAATTATACTACCTTATACAGAGTGTCTAAAAAATTATTTTTAATAATTACCAGCTTTAAACGGCAATAACTTGTTTAATTTAAATGGAATACCCTGTATATTTTATAAGAATCAGATGCACAATTTAATTGTCTATCAAATTGTATTATACGACTTTTTACCTATCCCTTCAAGTTTTCGTAGAAAATGCATTTTCTTATAATTTAGACCTCATTTATCAATATACCCATGGAATATTGACATTTTAGATTGTTTTTAAAACAACAAATGTACAAAATGTACGTGGCTAGTAATATTATCGTTTTAGTAAAACGATGATATTACTAGCCCATTTGTATGCAAAAAAAAAAACTATTTAGATCTTTATAAAAGAGTATACCATTAATTAAATATACCACAGTATTTCCGCCCAAATACTAATTAATTACAAACTTAATTGGGTTTGTTAATAAATTATTCTAAATAAATGTGGATTTGAATCAGAAATCAATATAATAATAAGTTATGAAAATGAACGTCTCTGTTATAAATAAGCATTTTTCAAAAAATGAAATATCAGTTTTAAGGTGTTAGTTTTTTTACTACACTGTCTAATACACATACATAATTCAGTTTTTTAGTATTTGGAGCAATTATTATTTATCAACGCAAAAAGTCAATTAATGTAGTTTGAATACTGGAATCATATTAATTGGTCCTCTTTAACAAATATTTAAACAGTTTTTTTTATTTTTTAATGAAATAAACGAACTATATCGACAATATTAGTATCTGTACTCTTTAAAAATTTGGTACATGTTTAAAAATAATCTAAAATGTCAGTATTCCCTGGGTATATTGATAAATGAGTTCTAAATTACAAGAAAATGCATTTTCTACGGAAACTTGAAGAGATAGGTAAAAAATGGCATAATACAATTTGATAGACAATTAAATTGTACATCTGATTCTCATAAAATATACAGGGTGTTCCATTTAAATTAAACCAGTTATTGCCGTTTAAAGCTAATAATTATTTAAAATAAATATTTAGCTACTCTGTCTGTATAAGGTAGTAAAATTTTTATTATTGCAACACAATAACTGATCAATAAATAAACTTCAGTAAATATTTAGTATTAAAAATTTTGATACCCTCGGAGAAATGAAGCCTTAAAATTTATACTGCAATTTCACAAAATTGAAAATATTTCAAAAACGGTAAGATTTAAGTGTAATAAACCTTAATCAAATTTACCTTTATTTTAATCGTAGAAACTAAAAATGTAATAATATACAGGGTGTTCCATTTAAAAAAATACAACTTTGATATTTTTTATTTATTTGGGACACTCTCTAACTTGTAAAAATATTTTTAAATTGTAGCTCTAATAGTCCTTCAACGAACCCAAAACTTACAATTTGTAAAAATCTAATCGTTTAGCTACAATATTCCGTGTCGTATGTGGTGAACAACCCTGTATAAACTTGACTTTATAGTCTGTTTAGTAAAAAAATATATCAGCCATCTATCACATTTTTCTTATCTCATCATTTAAAAACATTTTGCTTCTCTTAAATATCAGTCTGTAATTTATATTACTCTGGGATTTCAGTGTCATGGAATTGACATTGCTGGGAAAGTTCTACCTCAAGGTCTCACTCAAGAAATGACACCGGGGGAATTGAAATTCGCTCTCGCAGTGGAGACGGTGTTGAATACCATACCGCAGCCCGAATACCGACAGCTTATCGTCGAAGCTCTAATGGTTCTCACTTTAGCCGCTGAGTATAATCTGGCGCCCTTTTTGGGCGGTGTTATTCAGATTGAATATCTGGTGCATAGAGCTAATGAATTATTTTTGGAAGACCAGGTGAGTTATTGAAAAATACAATGCTTATATTTTAGTCATATCTGAGTTGATGAAGAAAAACTTGGTATTTTTTATTTTGTGTTGCTGTTAGGCCCCCTAGCGGTCAACTTTCGAACTTGAAAATGATTAAACCCCGAGTTAATTGAGAAAAAATAATTTAAAAAAAATTATTAACCCCGAGTTGTAGCTGACGTCCTTTTATATATTTTTGGTATGTGGTATTTTGTTTAAAATAAACCCTTGTTTGTTTTGTATTAACACATATCGTTTTTTAAATAAAGTAACTCGATTAGATTTTTTCAGTTTCATATTTTTTTTCGGAATATTTTTGAAGTAATCACTTGTCACTCAAAATTTAAATATATTAATTTCCTGCTATGCATTCCATTTGTAACCAACTATTTTTTGTAAAATAAAATAAACTACTTTGAAATTAAAATAACAGACATCACAGTCAAGGATTTTGTCGTTGGACAGACTATACCGGGTGCGTCTCAAAAGTGGCTCACCTTTATAACTTTTTTATTTTTTCAGATAAAAACAAGATTTGGTATGTTAGTACATGACATAAATTAGGATTGATTGACGCATTCAATTCTTTTCGGTCGCTTCCTGTTTCACCGGAAATGACTACAACTTTTGATTTTTAAATGGCACCCTCGGTATTTTTTTACTTTATTCGATAGAAAATAACATTCTGAATAGAATTACATGTCATATGTCAAATTTTGTCATTTTCGTTTAAAACAAAATTGTATTTTAAATTACAATCTAGAATGCCACGGCTGTGTTAAAAACACTAATTTTTAATCAAGGAGCCTTGGAAAAATAGATTTGATCGTCTAATGTTGTTAGTGGTTTCTCCTGGCCGGTTAAAAGATGCCCAAATCCTATTTTTAATCATATCTCAATTTTTTCAAATGGAACGGGGGCCGTGGCTCATTAGCATATTTGGACAAAGTATTTTTTAGGAATACTTTGGTACCACACACTTTGTATTTCGAGTCAGTGAATCGCATGTTGCAAATTCAAATAATATACTAATACCTTATGCGAAAATGTCAAAAGTTGACATATGATAGTCAGTCTAGTCAGAATGAAGGAGCAAAATACCGAGGGTGTCATTTAAAAATTAAAAGTTGTAGTCATTTCCGGTGAAACAGTTACAAAGTGGCCGAAAACAATAATTGAGTATGTCAAACAATCCTAATTTATGTCATACACTAATATACTAAATCTCGTTTTTTATCTGAGTAAATAAAAAAAGTTATAGGGGTGAGCCACTTTTGAAACCTACCTGGTATAAGTATTTTTACACATTTTAACCAAATTTAAATAAAACTATTAAAATAACGGACATCTCCGATATATTTTTGAAATATATCACACATGTCAGAAAAAACTACCAAATGCACCTCTAACATACCGGATACATAACTTGTAAGGCACTTTTTTATTACTAGTACTTCTAATTTCCCTAACTTTAAAAAACATGTTTTTTGGTATTACAAGACATGTTTTTAAAAACTGTATTCTGTAATATTGTCGGCCTCACAGGTGTTTTTTGAAAGTACAGAAGAGAATTTGAATGAATTATAGATGAAAGCAAATTAGAAAAAAAATATTGCAATTCATTATGTAAAAAATACCTTACGTATCACATATTTTAAAATACCGTAAATTGGTAGGTACTAAAACTTTCTGTCTGTAGATCATACCAGATCATACTAAATAAACAATTAACTATGTGATTAAGCTTGACCGGCACAGCTTTGTCAGTTTTACATATTTTCCTTTAAACAAAATATTTTAGAAAAAAAAATAATTATAAACTTGTAAACATTAGTTATTTACATCAATGATACTTATCTCCCTAAGAGCACTTGAAGGAGATAAAGGGTCATTATTAATGCATTCTCGTTCGACATATTCTAATAAGGATGTGATGAGTTTTTTGTAACGGCTGTTAAGCTGGATTGGTTTCTTGTACACTTCCACTACAAGCTCTTCTAAAACGAAAAATTTTCGACTACAAGGTCTGCTAGTGACAAATTTTAAGCCAAAAATGCCACACCACAATTCACATAAACCAAAAGATCGTAATACAAAATAAAATATTTATTTTTATTGTCAAAAATTTTTACAATTTGTAGACAAAAGTAAAGAAAACAAACAAAGGAAACAAACAAACAAAAGAGAATACAAAACATTATACAAATAACAGTCAGTCTTATTGTTTAAAATAAACATTTATAAATGTTTACAATGTCAAAGAATAAAAAAATAAAAATAATATTCAAAAATATTTAGTTAGTTTAGAGTAAATATCAATGACCTCTAGATATATTTTCGATGTCATTGGTAAATATAGTAATAGCAAACATTAGACCAGTGTTTACAAGATCCAAATTCGATTATCAAAATATAAGTCATTTACGGCGTAGAAAGCCTTGTCTAGTAAATAAGATTTCAATGCTTTGCGAAATGAAGAAAATTATGTTATGGATTTGATTTCAAATGGCAGGCGATTGCATTTTTTTCGAGTTGTGTAATATTGAACTTTTAATTAACTCTGAGCGTGGGGTAGGTAGATAAAAATCTTGCTCCGCGTTCCTGAGTGGATAAGTGTGAGATGGCCTTTCTTGAGAAGCTGATACATGCTTACGTATTAGGCAAACGGATTCAAATATAAATAAGGTAGGAAGAGTTAATATTTTTAATTTTTTAAAAAAGTCCTGGCAATGAGCTCTGCTGGTTAGTCCCAGTGAATATCGAACAGCTCTCTTCTGGAGCTGAAAATGCGGTCAAATTGAGTCGCACAACACGTACCCCAGAATGGAAGGGCATACCTGAGGTGCGACTCAAAAAGTGCATAAAAAACAGTTCTACCCACTGACAAGTTAAGCTCCTTAGAAACAGATCTTAATGCAAAATAGGCAGAGCTTAATTTTTTCAACAAAGCGTCGATATGCATGTCCCATTTCAGAGAATTGTCTACAACAAGCCCTACGAATTTTACCGATTTTACGACGTCAATGGTGGTGTTGTTAAGTACAAAAGGCTGCAGCGAGTTTTAATACGACAAAGGTTTAGTTTTAGAAATGTTGAGACTCAGGAAGTTCGAATGGCACCAAGATTTAACACGTTCAGTGGCAGTACTCATATCGAAATTCCACTTCATGTGACACTACCGTTTTATTGTGGGGAATAGATTCGTTATTGCTTTAGGTTAAGTGATTTATTTGAAATTTGATCTGAGAAAAATTATTATGGGGTTTTAAAAAAATAATTTGATGACGCCGATCAGCGTCTTGTCACGCTGTCGAAATCTATTAGCATTTTGTCTTCGCTGAATGGCGTTATAAATAAAAACAAAATAAGAAACACAAAGCAAAAATGTATTCAAAAATAAAAACACTTCTAATTATAATAAAAAAAATCTTATTATTACAGCTATCAAAAGTATTGCATCTATTTGTTATGCCACTCCTCAAAACAGGAAGGGCACAAGGGTGGCTTTGCAACACATCCCTTACATCTGAAACTGGTTTCGCGGCGTGTGTTTTTCATAGTACACAGTTTACACTTTAGAAAAACAGACTTTTTTTCCAGACTTAGGTCCTGGGATACCAGGAACTTTCTCGAGCCAATGACCTACGTTTTCTTTTCGTACAGGAATTTGAAATCTCCTGTGTCTGCTTGTTCTTACTAAGTTCTTTGTCTCGATGTTTTCGGGCAGGTTTATGAGGCACTTGATCAAACTATCCCTGAATTGAAGGAAAGGGTATTTTCTATTACCGCCTTGGAAATACTTTCTGTAAAGATAGAAGGCATTTCAAACTGACACATCCAATAGATGGAAGAAGACTTTTTTGTACCATCTAAGCGTCTTGCGTGGAGAAGAATAAGTGGAAGTCATTAGATCACATCTATCGATCCCGGACATGTGATCATTATATGTAACAACTTCTTCAGGCTTCACATATTCTTTTCCAAACTTGTTTTTTGTGGTCACCAAGCGTGGATGGTTCAGAGTTGTAATCACGAGAACATCTCTTTGGTCCTTCCATTTAGAGACATATACGTTTCCTCTGCGTTGCCAGATATGTTCCCCCTTTTTAAGTTTAGATGCCACAACTTTCTTGGGATTGTTTTTTCCATTGGCTCTTAAGGTTCCGTTTGTGTGAGTTCTCAAATTCAAAAGCTTCTTGGATAAGTCGTAACTGTTATAATAATTGTCCATGAAAATGTAGTGTCCTTTCATAATATAGGGCTCCAGCAGTCTCAGTACGAGAGCGGTAGTTTTACTGGTGCTATTGTCAAGTGCTGCAGCCTGAGCACCACTATACATTTCCATATTGAGTACATAACCATCTGAAGTGGTTACCTTGAAGAACTTGATGCCATATCTACTTTTCTTGTTTTTTATATACACTCGGAATCCTAATCTTCCACGAAAATGTAAGAGGCTTTCATCCAAAGAAAGTTCCTTGCCTGGACCGTAGACGCTCTGGAATCGGGCGATAAACATATCAAGAAGGGGTTGCACCTTGCCTTTGGATCTCGAACCAGGAGGAGAACAGCAGATAACTCTGAGGATTTGTTGGTAGCGCCTTCCCGACATGGTGAAACTGAAGACTGGATGATAATACAACGGATCAGAGTAAGAAAAGTAGCGTTTCATATTTTTTGTAGATATCTGGCCCTGAAGCAAGCATAAGCCAAGAAATTGCTTCAATTCATCAATTGAAATGGGGCGGAAACTTGCGTCTCTACAAAATCTAGTTTTTGGTCTGTTGATGTTGACTAAGCCATTTCCATAGTTATTTGAGCATTGTAAAATATATTCTTGTATTTCAGGAGTGAAAAGTTGTTCAAATACCTGAAGTGGGCTAGAGGTGGCATCAAGGGTTATTTTCAAACAGTTACCTGCTTCATCGGAGTAAAAATCTGGTATATCTGTTGTTGTGTCCTCCCAATCGCTGTCCCCATTGTTTTGA